CACAGGAGGCTGAGGCAGGAGAATGGCGTGAACCTGGGAGGTGGAGCTTGCAGTGAGTGGAGATCACACCACTGCACTCCAGCCTGGGCGACAGAGCGAGACTCCGTCTCAAAACAAAAAAAAAAGAAAGAAAGAGATGGGGTCTCACTGTGTCACCCAGGCTGGAGTACAGTGGCTCACTGCAGCCTCAAACTCCCGAGCTCAAGCAACCCTCCCATCTCAACCTCCCAAATTGCTGGGATTATAGGCATGAGCCACCACACCCTGCTGAAAACATTTTTTAGGTTTAAGAAAAGAGATGGGTTGGACGGGGCTGTGTGAGGAAAGCAAAGGAGACAGGCTGTGCCATGGCCTTGCTATGTGGCCACAGGTCCCTTCCCTTCTTTTCTCTGGTTCTTGGTTTTCTCCTCCTAATACAAATAGTATGTATGCATGTATGTATGTATGTGTGTATAATTTTGAGACTGTATGTATTATTTGAGACTCTGTTGCTCAGGCTGGAGTGTGGTGGCATGATCTCGGCTCACTGCAACCTCCGCCTCCTAGGTTCTCCTGCCTCAGCCTCGCCAGTAGCTGGGATTACAGGCATGCGCCACCACAACCAGCTAACTTCTGTATTTTTAGTAGAGACAGGATTCCGCCATGTTGGCCAGGATGGTATCAAACACCTGACTTCAGGTGATCCACCCTCCTCGGCCTCCCAAAGTGCTGGGGTTATAGACGTTGAGTCATCGCGCCCCGCCAAATAGGTATTTACTGGGCACCTGCTGTGTGCCAGACTCCAGGTCAGGCGCGTCACAGATTATCTGAAACCAACGGCAGAGACGTGACTTATTCAGGTCTCTACACTGGTTGGTGGCAGAGAGGGGCCTGGAATGGGGGTTGAGGGTAGGCATTGGTTCTGACTCCCAGCTCAAGGCCACTGCACCAGCTGCTTCCATGTTTTACTTCCAGAGCTGCCCCAGTGACAGGTGGGGACAGGTGGGGGTGGGGGGGAGGGGCTTCTCTTTTCTCCCAGGCTGAGGAGGGGCCAGCCGCAGGTTGGCACAAAATCGTTGTTTCGCCCTCCGGTGGCCACAAGCAGCAGTGCAGGTGTCAGGCCTTGGGGGTCCATGAGGCAGAGTCCCTTCCCACTGTCCCCAGCACCACCACCCTCAAACACACACGCAAGGCATCTGTCTGGGTGTGACTAGGTCTGTTGGAGCATTCCAAAGCGCTCACTTTGTCAAACGTAACCTGGGTGCTGGGGGCAGGCGGGTGGACAAGTTTGTGATATTTGCGGAGATCAGGGGATTCCTGAGGCAGTTTAAGCAGAGATCAGGGAAAGCACCCTAGAAACTTGAAGGATAAGTGGAAATGAACCAGAAAAGACCAGTTCTGCCTAGTTCTAAGCGGAGGGAATGGCGCACACAGAGGCCTGGGGATTTCACTCTGGCTGGAAGGTAAGGGGAAGAGGCACAGTGAAGGAGCCACAACTGGGTAGACTGGGTGAGCCATGGGAGGAAGGGTGGACTTTCTCCTGGAGGCACTAGGGAGCCACAGAAGGATTTTGAGCAGGGGAGAGACAAAATCAGATAGAAATGTTATTATTATTATTTTATTTTATTTTATTTTATTTATTTATTTATTTTGAGACGGAGTCTCGCTCTGTCGCCCAGGCTACAGTGCAGTGGCCGGATCTCAGCTCACTGCAAGCTCCGCCTCCCGGGTTCATGCCATTCTCCTGCCTCAGCCTCCCGAGTAACTGGGACTACAGGCACCCGCTACCATGCCTGGCTAGTTTTTTTTGTTTTTTTTTGTATTTTTTTAGTAGAGACGGGGTTTCACGATGTTAGCCAGGATGGTCTTGATCTCCTGACCTCGTGATCCGCCTGTCTCGGCCTCCCAAAGTGCTCGGATTACAGGCTTGAGCCACCGCGCCCAGCCTATTTTTTTTTAATGTAAGCTGAATAGACGGAAATTTTAGGAAGATCAGCCCGACTGCTGTGTGGGAGAGGGGTTGGAGCAGGCCAAAGAGAAGGCTGTACCAGTGCTGGTTCTGGGCCCATCCCGGATTCTCGAGGCCCAAAGTTTGTAGGGGCGTGAGGGAGGGGAAGGGATCCCACTTTGTCTACAGAGCGGGAGCCAAGCCCGCTCAGAGAAAAACGACAGTGACCCCAACACTCACAAATCTCTTCTCACAGCCATGCTTTATGTCCCCGAGAGAAAGAGGTGATTCTCAACATTCTGTAGAAAAGAAACAGAGTAAAGAGACAATGCCTGGGTCACATAAAAGCTGGTTGATGGCCAAGCCTCAATTCTGGGGGGATCAGGGTGACCCCAAAGTGAAAACATCCCAGTGGCTGGCTCTTCCTTCCAAAATTCCTGGCCCTGGGCTATGGGGGGTTTGGCTGAGGGGCCAAGAGTGAGGACCCAATGTCCTCAGGCCACCCTCGAGGATCCCTTGGGTCCTGGCAGACCTCAGGCTCCCCACCCCCTATACCCAGGCAATGAGCCCGAGGTCTGCAGTGGCTATCGCCTACCCACAGCCTGCAGGCTTTGTCCTTGGAAACAAGCAGCTTGTCAAAGCTGTCCTCTGTAAAGCGGATGGATGGCCCTTGGCTGCCAGCTGGACAATGCCCAGGCTCTGCGGAGGGGAGATTAGGCCAGCCGTGGCCCAAACCAGTCCCAACCGCTCAGGGACCACAAATCGGGGTCCATGGATGCCCTGCCCCTCCATGGTGCTTGATCATCTTCAGGAGTGACTCCTGGAAAATGTGATCCCCTGGAAGGGAGGGAGTTGGGCTGGAGGCGCCAGGGCAGGGGCATCACCAAAGATGGGAAGGTGGTTGCTTAAGATACAGAAAGAGATTTGGGGTGGGACAGGAAAGGCACGGTGAGGAGGGCCGGAAGCCACACAAGGGAGACTGGCAGCGTTGGGGTCCGGAGGCTGTCCTGCAGCCCACTCCTTCCTTGCTTTGTGACCTTGGGCCAGTCTATTCTCCTCTCTGGGCTCAGTTTGCGCATGCATAAGATGGGCTCCTAAGAATCCCTGCCTTGAGTGAGATGGTGCAAGTGTAGGAAGGCCCAGCCAGGGCCAAGCAGAGTGGGGCTTCATGAAGCTTGGGCCTCTCCTTCCCGCACTTGTCATCTTGGGCCTCTCCTTCCTGCACTTCTCACTGGCTCTGGAAACTGGGACTGGGTGGGAAGTGGGCGGGTTGCAAACAGGAGAGAACTAAGTCCTGCCCACGTTTTGCTGGACCAGGAACCTGGGAAATGCTCCGAGCTCTGCCCCAAGCAGAGGCCTCTTGTCTCCCAATTTTTAATTTGAAAATTATCAAACCCAGAGAAACCCACCAATATATCTTCCTTTGGTATATATTGATTACCCTCCTTCTTCTTAAAATAAACCATCACAAGAGCAAGACCCTCTCTCTATATATAGAATAAAAATAAAACAAAAATTGTTGCCAGCAGGCTTTTTTTTGGGGGGGAGGACAGAGTCTCGCTCTGTCACCCAGGCTGGAATGCAGTGGGATGGTAATGGCTCACTGCATCTTCAACCTTCCAGGCTCAAGCGATCCTCACACTGCAGCCTCCCAAGTAGCTGGGACTCCAGGTGTGCACCACCACACCCAGCTAATTTTTAAATTTTTGTAGACACAGGGCAGGGTCTCCCAATGTTGCCCGGGTTGGTCTCAAACTCCTGACCTCCACTAGCCTCCCATCTCAGCCTCCCAAAGTGCTATGACTGCAGGCATGAGCCATGGCACCCAGCCTAGCAGGATAGCTTTTAAGTGAGTTTTGACAAGAATGATAAGTGGACTGTGTGCCAGGCACCATGTATTAGCTACGGGCTTGGTACATGTTAAGTCAAAGTCACTTAAATCTCACAGCACCTCCATGAGTTATGGACTATTTAACAACCACGCATTACAGATGAGGAAACTGGCTTGGAGAAATCAGGTGTCATGCCTTAGGTCAGAGTCAACATGAACTTGGATGAACTTGGATGGATCTATCTGCCCCCAAAGCCTGGGCCCTGGGGTCACTCAGTCTAACCTCCCTCCTAACCAGGCATCCCTGCTACTGAGGCCAGGACGGTATGCCCCCAGTCCCTACTCCACATTTCCATGGGGGATCTTTGCCTCTGCATCCCCCCAACTCCTCAGCCTCCCTCTGCAGCCCTGGCCCTGGCTCTGCCCCTATTCCCTTCCCCCAGACAGGCCCTCTCTGCCATCCCTGCAGTACCTTTAGAATGGCCTGGATGAAGATCCAGAAAGCCAGGTTCAAGGCCCAGCTCTGCCACTGGCCACTGGCCTAAGCCGGGGTGAGAGCCCTCAGTTCCCCTCTGGAAAATGGGTATGCCCGCCCCCAGCCCTTCCTCGCAGCAGGTGGAAAGTATAGGAGAAGCGTCCTGTAGGGAGCCGGCCCCGGGCAGGCAGTAGGCCTGACACTGAGCGCTCCCTCCTCCCCCACCATCCCGGCCTCCAAGGGGTCTGGGGAGCCCAAAGACCCTTCAGCTTCCACTAGTTTGCTCTGGATCCAAGTCTCACAGGTGGCCCCTTCTAATCGGGTGACTTTAACCAGTGTGTTTGGGGAAGGTAGTGACAACAGGCCCGGGGCGAGGGACTGAAGGTCTCCTCCCGCCCATCTAGAGGCAGGTCTCTGGCTGGCTGGGCTGGGTGGGGGGCCCAAGAGGGCGGGGTGGGGAGCGGAAGGGGGCGTGACCGAGGGGCGGGGTCTCCTGGGTCGAGGGGCGGGATCTCCTGGTACCAGCCAGAGCCAGCCGTCGCCTCCCGGACTTCAGTCCCCGCAGACGCCTCGCAGACGGTGAACAGCCACAGGCGCCAGGCCAGGCAAAGCGGGTGAGGAACTGGAGCTGGGAACAGGGGAGGGACCAGCGGGTGAAGGGGAGGCCCCTGACTCAGGCCCATTGGCGCCTCGCAGAGGACGGACGTGCAGTGGTGGGCAAACTTCGCATCTCCCTCTCTGGCCTCAACGAGTGTTTGGAGAGCAAGAAAAGTGGGCTGGGGGCTTGCGGGCGCGAATCCAGGCAGACGTGAACGAGGGAGTGCTTTTCAGAGTCCAAAACGCGGGAGCCTCCGAGTCCTCCGGTGAGGGGCATGTTGGATTTTCGTGCTGTCTGAAAGAGGGAAAAGGGGTGAATGATCACGGGTGATGGCTCAGATGCCGTCACCAGGTGGCAGGAGGCCGGGTGTCAGGACACCGTGTTTTCTCAGGCACATTTGTGTAATGCCAAGAGACCCAGGAGGCTCTTCCCTGCCGGCGGAGTCCCCCAGGTTGACGGGAGTGACCCCCAGATCACCCAGGGTTAGGGTATCCCCGCTGAGCACAGCGCCTGGCTGCGGCACACCCACCAGCAGGAACCGCAGGCTGAACCTGGAGGAGGTACTACTGAGAGACTGGGAGGCAGTCCAGGCAGGAGGGATGGCATGGTCACAGGTCTGGAGAAGGGAAATTCAGAAATGGACACACCTTGGGGAGCAGGGGAAAGGTGGCGGCACCGAGGAGCGGTGGACAGGTGAGGCCAGGGAACTCGGCAGAGGCCTGAGGAAGCAGAGCCTTGGCAGAGAACACCAAGCAACACAAAGAAGCCACCTGGTCCTGAACTTCCCCACCCCCGCAGGGACCCTGAGCTCTGTTTCGCCCCTCTCTGGCCAGCGACTGCTGCTGACTCCTCCTCTCCCAGCTCTCCAGAGCAACAGTGTTTCCTTGCTTCGGTCCTGAAGGGGCTCCTGGAGACCATCTGTTGTGCAAGTAAATGTCGTCCCTAGTGGGAGGGCCACCTGGGCTTCCAGCCCACTGGTTGGTTCCCAGCTCAGTGGGGTCTGGGAGCCAAGCAAAGGGCAAAGGGACCCTGCAGAAATCCAAGGGGGAAGCAAGGCAGGATGCCAAGCTGCTTTCCTGTGACTTTCTTTCCTCAGTCCATGTTGGCCTGCCTGTGACCCCTGCTGTCAGTCACCTGCTCTGTTGGATCCAGGATGGCACCGTGGCGCTACTGTTTCCTCTGCCTCTTGGTAACTTCACCTCTGGGAGGGCGATGCCTGGGAGGAAGTCAAGGGGACTCACAGCTTCAAGGGTTCCAAGTGGCCATCCCACCTCATGAGGTCACTGCAAAGGTTATGAAAGATAAGCCCTGGCACAGATGGAATAAAAGCACTCACTAAGGGCGACCCCTCTTACTCATCAGCCCGTTTACTCCTCACGCAGGGAAAAGGTTCAGGGCAGTGAAGGGCCCTCCCAAGATCCCACTCTGAGTGGTGGGATTTGAATTCAGGTCTGACTGCAGAGCAGAGCCTGCAGCTTCCACTGAATGCCCCCTCCCACCCACCCCCAGAGTAGGCATTCAATAACAGCTAGTGTGCGGGGAGGGCTGCCCCACTGCCACCTGTCTTCTTCTCTCCCAGATCAGAAATCTCTCTGGGACCCCCTCCAATTCCTCAGGTGAATCAAGGAATCCTTGGGCCCCAGGTTGGTATGAGGGATCCCCCCAGGGAGGGTCCCCATCCCCCAGCTAAGCAAGTCTGTGATCCAAGGGATGCATTGGCTTAGAATGCAAAGGAGGGGAAGAATGACATTTAGTTTCACCCCCACCATACCAGGCCCTGCGAGGAAAGCTTCACTGGTTTCCATCTCATTCCTGCCATTGTGCAGATGACGAAACGAGCTCGGCAACAGGACAGGACTCAGGGGGCCATAGACATGGCGGGGTTCAGCCCCATCCAGCCCGAATGACTCCAAGCCCAGTGTCTTTAGCTCTGCCCAGCCCTGGAAGAGTCAGATGCCCACAAAATGCACCCCCACCCGTCTCTCCTATCGTTTTTAGCCCCCGTGGCCCCCGGCGAGGTGGTGGAGACTGCAGGTGGGGTGTGCAAGTTCTCTGGACAGCGACTGAGCTGGTGGCAGGCCCAAGAGTCCTGCGAGCAGCAGTTTGGCCACTTGGCACTGCAGCCCCCTGATGGGGTTCTTGCTTCAGGGCTGCGCGATCTGGTCTGGGTGGGCCAAAGAGAGGTGCCTCTGCGGAGACCCCCTCAGAGGCGTGAGTGTGGGCCCCTGGGAAATGGGAGCAAGGGGCAGAGGCTCGGGGGACCTTAAGAGATAGGAGCCCACAGTGACAATACTTGCAGAATGAGCTGGGAGTAAGATCCCATTGCATCTCCAGGTTCCCTTGCCCTGGACTGGACGTCGGGGTTTGACTCTTGGGCAGGGGAACGCTAGCCCGCATTTCCTCCTTCCTGAGGTGGGGAGGTACCCCAAAGCCTGGAAAGACCCCGCCGCTAAGCCAAAGGGCAGGAGCAGGACCGTGTTCACAGGGGAGGAAACTGAGGTCGCGGCCCACGTGTCCCCGCAGGTGCGCGCACCACTGCAGTGCTGGTGTTTGGCGAGAAGACAGCTGACCGCGCGGCGCGGCTGCGGAGCCCCCTGCCTGAGCTGGCGGCGCTGACCGCGTGTGCTCACGTGCAGTGGGACTGTGCCTCGTCCGACCCCGCCGCGCTCTTCTCCGTTGCCGCGCCCGCGCTGCCCAACGCGTTGCAGCTGCGCGCCTTCGCCGAGCCAGGGGGCGTAGTGCGCGCTGCGCTGGTGGTGCGTGGGCACCACGCGCCCTTCCTCGCAGCATTCCGCGCCGACGGCCGCTGGCACCATGTGTGCGCCACATGGGAGCAGAGGGGCGGGCGCTGGGCGCTGTTCTCCGACGGGAGGCGGCGCGCTGGGGCGCGGGGACTGGGCGCCGGCCACCCGGTGCCGTCCGGCAGCATCCTGGTGCTGGGCCAGGATCAGGACTCCCTGGGCGGTGGCTTCTCGGCGCGTGACGCCTTCAGCGGCAACCTCACCGACTTCCACCTGTGGGCGCGGGCGTTGAGCCCCACGCAGTTGCACCAGGCACAGGCTTGCGCGCCCCCCCCAGAGGGCCTGCTCTTCCGCTGGGACCCGGGCGCCCTGGACATAGCACCCTCGCTGCTGCCCATGGTGTGGGTGCGCCTTCTCTGTCCCGGTACGACCCGCCCCGCCCCGCCCCGGCCCCACCCGGTGGTCCCGAATCCTTCCCTTCCGAACCTGGAACTCGATCCACCCCTTGCCAACCAAGCCACGCCTAGCTCTGGCCACGCCCTCTCCAGGCTGTCGTGCCTGCGAGCTCCAGCATAAGCCTGGTCCCAGCATAAGCCTCCACCTTACCCCTACCCCGAGCTGGCCACAGTGTCCCTCTCTCAGGTTTCACATTGCCCCCTCACCCCGGGGCCGTGCATCCTGGCTCGCCAGGGTGCGCAGGACCCCTAGGGAGCCCTAACAGCTGCCCCGCGCCTGCCAGTGCCCTCCGAGGAGTGCCCTACGTGGAACCCTGCACCTCGCAGTGAGGGCTCTGAACTCTGCCTGGAGCCGCAGCTCTTCCTCTGCTGCTACCGGACAGGTGCGCCCTGGCTGTGCCCCTGGGCTCTGCTGAAGGGAAAGCCGATGTGGACCAGAGTAGACTGAGAAGGGGTGAGCTATTGGCAAAGTCTGGGAATTCAGAATCATCTCAGAGCTTCAAGGTCTCCATGGAGTCTAAGCCACAGAGCAGTGGGTTCAGACGGACCTGAGGGTGAATCCAAATTGTGTGACGTTGGGCAAGCTCTTTTGCCATTCTGTGCCTCAGTTTCCCCATCTAGAACACTGTGTGTAAGACTCTGGACACACAGCCAGCAAGGTGCTCTTCCTTCCCTGGGCAGCACGTGGTGGGTAGAGGTCGCTGAACAGGCTGGCACCTCTGGGCAGGGGTATTGCCCGGGGCCCAGCCTGGCATCCACTCCTTTGCAGAGACCTATCATCGGCTGCAGGATGCTCAGTCGTGGCCTGGCCAGGATGTTATCAGCCGAGTCAATGCCTTGGCCAATGACATTGTGGTGAGCTCCCTTTCAGGGGCTGGCGAGCCTGGGGGCTCTGTGGGTCACCTCGCTGCACCTCAGTTTCCTCCCCTGTAATGGTGTGGCTCCTGGGGGGATCCCCGCATAACAACCAGACCCAGAGTCAGTGGCTCCTCTGCCCACAGCTCCTCCCGGACCCCCTCTCCGAAGCCCATGGGACCCTGTCCCCAGCGGAGGCCTCCAGCTTCCTGGGCCTTCTGGAGCATGTCCTGGCGATGGAGATGGCTCCACTGGGGCCGGCCACACTTCTGGCTGTTGTGCGCTTCCTGAAGAGGGTAGTGGCCCTCGGGGCTGGGGACCCTGAGCTGTTGTTGACAGGCCCCTGGGAGCAGCTGAGCCAACGCGTTGTATCTGTGGCCAGTCTGGTCCTGGAGGAGCAGGTGGCTGACGCATGGCTGTCCATCCGTGAGGTGAGGCTGGCAGGGCTGGGTGGGCAGAGGCCTGGGCTGTGGTTCCAGCCTAGCCACCAGCTGGTTGTGTAGCTGTGGCGGAGTCAGCACCTAGCTCTGGGCTCCATCTCTGCATCTATCGGGAGAAGCTTCTCTTTTGTCTATTTGATAAGTTTAATTTCCATAAACAACTGCACTTGAGGCTGGGCGCAGTGGCTCATGCCTGTAATCCCAGCACTTTGGGAGGTTGAGGCGGGTGTATCACATGAGGTCAGGAGTTTGAGACCAGCCTGGCCAACATGGTGAAACCCTGTCTCCATTAAAAATACAAAATTAGCCAGGCCTGGTAGTGGGAGCCTGTAATCCCAGCTACTCGGGAGGCTGAGGCAGGAGAATCACTTAAACCCAGCGGGTGGAGGTTGCAGTAAGCCGAGATCACACCACTGCACTCCAGCCTGGGTAACAGAGTGAGACTCTGTCTCAAAAAAAAAAAAAAAATTGCACTTGGCCAATAGCTTCTGTAGTTAAATGAAATGATTAAGAGCCACCAGTCAGTAAGAGCCTCCCCTATCTCCAAGAACCTGCTGACCACCTTAAGTGGGGGATCTATACGGAGTGGACAGTCCACCTTGTCTGCCTAAACAGCCCAGACACTCTGGACAGCATGAGAGGTGCTGTCCAGATGGAGAGGCTGTTGGAAATCTTGTACTGGCAGAAGTAGCTGTCGGCCTGGGAGTGATCAGTCCAGAGCAGGGGAGGAACAAGAATCATGAACAGTGCCTGCAAATTATCTGGGGTTGAAGAAGCAAACCTGGTACCCCTGGTGGGCCTCAGAGGACAGATTTGGGACTAGGACATGGGGGTAGGGGAAGACGGCATAACACAGGAGGCTGGTTCTATGGAATGATTCGCTATGGGTAGTGAGCTCCCCATCCTGGGAAGTGTGCAAGCCCATAGTTGATTAGGGATCCGAGGCACTGCAGTAGACTGGGGAGAGCCAGATTGAAGCTCAGTTTTCTTCCCTGGGGAATGGGGATGATCACACCAGCCTTGCTAAGGCAATGGAGAGGCATTAGGGATGAACAGTGTGACTTGCCCAGCACAGAGTAGGTGCCCCATGAATGCAGATTCCTCTCCTCCCTCCCCTGCTCTCACCACTCCCACCCATGGCTTTCCTTTTGCAATCTCAGTGTTAAGCAACCATTACAGGTCTAGCACTGAGCCACAGCGAAGGGGTAGGCATGGCCCAGCCTTCCGAGTGTGCCCTGGCTCGCAAACAGGAGGATGGGGTGGCTTGGGAGATAGAATTGGATAGGTCGAAGGAGGCTGGGGCATGCAGGGCTTCGAGTGTCAACCTGAGGACCCAGGACTTGATCCTGGAGTCCTTAAAGAGCCACGGAGGGTCTGGAGAGGGTAGGACCACCTCCCAGATCATGGAGCGTTCATTCCAGCACTCAGGGCAGGCAGCAGTGGGGTGCAGTGTGTGACAGGAAGCTGAGATGCAGCATCCTCCCAGGTGGTTGGTGGGCCTATGACCCTGGTGGCGAGTGTGCAGCGCCTGGCAGCCCTGCTGAGCACCACAATGACCTCAGAACAGCCCCGAATGCGCATCCAGCACCGCCATGCTGGTGAGCCTGCACCCACCTGCCCACACGGCTGGACTCAGACCTCCCTCCTCGCCCTGGTGACTAGGAGCTGTCTGCACTTCCACAGGCACTCCATTCTGTTTCCTGCCTTTGCCCATGCTGTGCCCTGAATCCAGAATGCCCTCTCTCCCTTGATCTCCTAGCAAATGCCTATACATCCTTCAGAACCCCGCGTGGGCATCACTCCCTTTAGGAAGCCTTCCCGTTTTAGCTCTATCCTCCACCAAGAGACAGTTCCTCCCGCCTCTATTACCCCAGAACCTTGAACGTGTCTCTCATTGCATTTCTGGCAATTACATAATGGGATTATCTCCCTCCACGGGACACTCCCTAAGTGGTAAGCCGTCTCTGCATCTCGGGGCCAAGCCCAAGTACATACTCGGTGAATGTTTGTAGCCTGAATGGGGATGCACCTGTGGTGAAGCTTCAGGTACAAACACGTGTCCTTTGGGCTCCCATCAGTTTCTGGTGACTCATCAATATTCAGGTCCTGCCTCGCGGTGACCACCACCCCCCCTTCTCAGTGAGCCCTTCCCCTGGAATTGGAAAAGTCAGATTTGCCTTGGGCAAGTTGCTGAACCTCTCTGAGCAGGAATGGTGGACTCTGAGGCCTATGGCAGGAAGAGAGAGATCCAGACCCTGCTAGCTGGGCTGGCTCAGCAGAAAGACCTCACTCCGAGGTCCAGCCACCCAGCCCCGTTTACCCCCAGGCCTGGAGGTGCGCAGCTTACGCTTGAGGGAGGCCAGCACGAGGGGCTCGTTCTTCACAATGCCCGGTGGGCGTCCAGAGGGGGCCGGCCATATCCACATTCCTGCAGGTGAAGCGAGGCGACTCCTCAGAAAAGGTGGGTGAGGATGAGGGGGTGTCGAGAGCCCTGTTGGGTTCTGGGTCAAACCTCAGCTCTAACCATTGCTAGCTGTGCTGCTCATCTTTCAGAGTCTCAGTTTGCTCATCTGTAAAATGGGCACATTACTACTTGCCTTGTGGTTTATGAGGTTAAAAGCACCCACCACATAGTGGTGTTCACTTAGTCTCCTCCACGGAACCACGCACATCTTCCCTTGGGAGTGGGTAGTGGAGGGAGACCCCCTATGCTTGATGCCATGCAGTGGTGGGGGATTAGGGGAAGGGGCAAAGGGCCTTGGAGATGTGAGGTTAAGCACATAGACTGTGGCTGCTTGGAATTTTGCCTGTTCCACTTCTTAGCTGTGTGATATTAGGGAAGTCATTTAACCTCTCTGAGCCTCAGTTTCCCTATCTGTAGAGTGGGGAGAGCATCACCCTTAGGGCCAGCTGGTGGTGCTTGCTCAGCCACCGGGTGGTGCCTTAGTGCCCCTTCCACTCAGCCAGGCCTCTCTGGAGTCACCGTGATCCACAGCTGGTTCACCTCCAGAGTCTTCCAGCATACCCTAGAGGGGCTGGACCTACAGCCCCAGGCCCCTGCCAGCTCAGAGGAAGCAAACAGGGTGCAGAGGTGAGTAGGCGCCACCTGGAAGGTTGTGAGGGCCTGTGTCCCCTCCCCAGGAAGGCCAGAGCCCGCGTTCTGGTGGGTGCATGTGTCCTTAGCAGCCCAGGGCCCGCCGTTTCCCACCTCTGCCCAACACACACACACTTCCGCACCTGCCGGAGGTGAACACGGCTCAACTCCTGTCTGGGGTTCTGGCTTCTGTGTTGGGACTTACCCAAGTTACCAGCAAGTCCTTAAGGCAAGACTGAACCAGGTGCCATAATTCCTGATACCTCTTTGGCCACAGAGGCTGCCACCTCCACCTCAGGGGCCTGAGTGACATGCCCCAGCCAGGCACCATCCCTCCTCCACAGCCACCCTTGAAAGCTCCCATTCTGCCCACAGGTTCCTAGGCACCCAGGTGGGGTCAGCCATCATCTCCTCTGAAGTGTGGGACATCACTGGAGAGGTCAGCATGGCCGTGACATTTCATCTGCAGCACCAGGCCCAGGTACTGGGTGGCGCTTCTGGGAAGCAGCCATCCTGGTGCATGTGTCCTGGCTCAGTTCCCCCAACCCCCAATATTTATTCATTGGACAACCAAGGCCTACTAATGCACACAAAATGTACCTGCAAGTCACCTCCATTGTCCTCAAGGGAATGGGAAGGGAAGCGATTGACTGCAGGGGCACCTTATGGCAGGTGGCATTAATGAATGGCGCATTCATTACTCCTCCAACTGTGTACTTTATCCACAGCTTGATTATTGGCCCCAGCTTGTAAGTGGCAGAGCTGGGATTTCATTCTAGGTCTGCGTAACTTGAAAACCTGTTAGTTCTCGGCCGGGCGCGGTGGCTCAAGCCTGTAATCCCAGCACTTTGGGAGGCCGAGGCGGGCGGATCACGAGGTCAGGAAATCGAGACCATCCTGGCTAACACAATGAAACCCCGTCTCTACTAAAAATACAAAAAAAAAATTAGCCGGGCGTGGTGGCGGGCGCCTGTAGTCCCAGCTACTCGGGAGGCTGAGGCAGGAGAATGGCGTAAACCCGGGAGGCGGAGCTTGCAGTGAGCCGAGATAGCGCCACTGCACTCCAGCCTGGGCGACAGAGCGAGACTCCGTCTCAAAAAAAAAAAAAACCTGTTAGTTCTCATGGAGTCATTCACTGCGGTGTGTGCAGTGAATTCATTCATTCACTCTCTGCAGTGTGTGTGCAGGAGCCTTCACATATGAATGTGCTTCATACAAATAAAAATAACCTAAATGTCCATCAGTAGGGGACTCCTTTAAAAGTTTTGTAGGTCTGGGCACGGTGCCTCATGACTGTAATCCCAGCACTTTGGGAGGCCGAGGAGGGCGGATCACTTGAGGTCAGCAGTTCGAAACCAGCCTGGCCAACATGGTGAAACCCCATCTCTACTAAAAATACATAAAAGTTAGCCAGGCATGGTGGTACACGCCTGTAGTCCCAGCTACTGGGAAGGCTGAGGTAAGAGAATCGCTTGAACCCAGGAGGCGGAGGTTGTAGTGAGCCAAAATCACACCACTGCACTCCAGCCTGGGCGACAGAACAAGATTCTGTCTCAAAAAACAAAAAACCAAGTTTTGTAGATATATATGGTCAGCCCTCCATATGGGAGGGTTTCACCACCAAGGATTCAAGCAACCATGGATGGAAAATATTCAGAAAAAATAGCATCTGTACTGAACATCTATAGACTTTTATTTTGGGGGTCATAAATAAGACAGTATAACAGCTATTTATATATTTATATTTTATTTCCTAAGCAAGATAGCATAACAGCTATTTATATAGCATTTAAGTTGTATTAGGTATTACAAGTAATCTAGAGATGACTTAAAGTATACAGGAGCATGTGTGTAGGTTATATGCAAATAGCATGCCATTTTATATAACAAACTTGAGCCTTGGCAGGTTTTGGTATCCTTAGGGGTCCTGGAACCCATCTCCTGCAGGTAATAGGGACCAAGTGTGCAATGGAATAGTCAACTGAAAGTTGTATAGGGATTGGGATATTTCTGTATAAACTGACATGGAAAGATCTCCAAGATATGTTAAATTTCATTTCACGTTTAATACACAAATTTATTCTCCCTTCTGAAACACTGGAATGTTTCAGAGAAAGCTATCTTCTTTGCTCACAACCACTAATCTTGGACACACACACACACACACACACACACACACCACTGCTTATCAGTCTCTTGTATATATCCTCCCAAGACAAAAAAAAAAAAAAAGTCAAATTGATTGAGGCTAGGCATGGTAGCTTATGCTTGTAATCCCAGCACTTTGAGAGGCTGAGGCAAGTGGATCGCTTGAGGCCAGGAGTTTGAGATTAGCCTGGGTAACATAATGAGAACTCATCCCTACAAAAGAATAGAAAAATTGGCCAGGCAAGGTGGCACAACATCTGCAGTTTCAGCTACTCAGGAGGCTGAGGCAGGAGGATGGCTTGAGCCTGGGAGTTCAAGGCTGCAGTGAGCCATGATCACACCACTGCACTCCAGCCTGGGCAACAGAGCAAGACTCCGTCTCAAAAAAAAAAAAAAAATCAAATTGATTGAAATGTCTAAATCTACGTATGCTAAAATGCATCCATGTTAAGCATACAATTTGACAAGTTTGGACCAGTGTATATACGTGTGTACCACTGCCCCACTCAAGGTCTAGAACATTTCTACCTTCCCAAAAAGCTTCTTTGTGCCCCTTCCCAGTCAGTGTTCCATGCTGCTACCCCAGGAAATCACTGACCTGCTTTCTGTAACTGTAGATTGTCTTTTCTTTTCCTTTTTTTTCTTTTTTGAGACGGAGTTTCGCCATTGTTGCCCAGGCTGGAGTGCAATGGTCGATCTCGGCTCACTGCAACCTCCGCCCCCTAGGTTCAAGCGATTCTCCTGCCTCAGCCTCCTGAGTAGCTGGGACTACAGGCATGCGCTACCACGTCTGGCTAATTTTGTATTTTTTTTTTTTTTTTTTTTTAGTAGAGATGGGATTTCTCCATGTTGGTCAGGCTGGTCTCGAACTCCCGACCTCAGGTGATCTGCCTACCTTGGCCTCCCAAAGTGCTGGGATTTGCAGGTGTGAGCCACTGTGCCCAGCCCTGCATCTGTCTTTTCTAGCGTTTCATGTAAATGGAATCATCTAGTATGTGTTGAGGCCTGGCTTTTGCTCAGGTCCCATTGTTGAGAATCATTCATGTTGTTGCACGTTTCAGTAGCTCATTCCTTTTTCACTGCTGAGTAGTATTCAGGTATATGGATGTACCATGATTTGTTTTTCCATTTACCTGTTGACAGAGATTTGATTTGTTTTCAGTTTGGGCTACTATGAATAAGTCTGGTATGAACACTCATATACAAGTCTTTTTGTGGATACATGATTTCTCTTTACTAGGTAGATTCCTGAAGTAGACTTGCTGAATTGTTGCATAAGTGTATTTTAACTTCCTAAGAGACTGTCAAACTGTTTTCTAAAGTGGTTGAACCATTTTTACATTCCCACTAGCAGCGTTGGAGAGTTCCAGTTGCTCCACACCTCTGCCAACATCCTTGTCAGTGTTTTTAATGTCATTCATTATAATAGTCATGTATTCATATCTCATTGTGGATTTAAGCTGCAATTCCTTGAAAACCAATGATTCTGGGCATCTCTTTATACACTTATTAAGCTGTCATATATCTTCCTTTGTTAAATGCATCTTCAAATATTTTCCCCAATTTTTAAATTATTTGTTTATTATTGAGTTGTAAGAATTCTTTATATATTTTGGATACAAGTCCTTTGTTAGAGATATGTCTTGTGAATAATTTCTTCTAGTCTGTGGCTTGCTTTTCGTTTTCTTAATAGTATCTTTGGAAGATAAGTTTTTAATTGTGATGAAGTCCAATTTATCAATTTTTGTCTTGCATAGCTCATGCCTTTGTATCCTATCTAAGAAAGCTTTGGCAATCCAAAGGTCACAAAGATATTCTCAAGGAAGTTTATCACTTTAGCTTTTACATGTAGGTGTATAATTTATTTCAACTTAAGTTCCATATATTATGAAGGTAAAAAGGTTGAAGTTCATTTTTTTCCATATAGACAACCAGTTCCAACACTGTTGAAAAGATTATTCTTTGCTCCCGTTGAATTTTCTTGTCACCTTTGTTGAAATCAATTGTCTGTATATGTGTAGATCTATTTCTGGGCTGTGTGTTCTGTTCTAGTGATCTATATGCCTATCCCTATGTTAATTTCATACTGTCCTGATTAATGTGTCTGTATAGTAAGCCTTGAAATCAGGTAGTGTATCCTTCAACTTTGTTTTTTGGGCTTTTTGTTTGTTTGTTCGTTTTTTGAGATGGGTGTGATCTCTGGGTGTCACCCAGGCTAGAGTGCAGTGGTGCAATCTCGGCTCACTGCAGCTTCTGCCTCCCAGGTTCAAGTGATTTTCCTGCCCCAGCCTCCAGTAGCTGAGATTACAGGCACATGCCACCACGCTCCGTCAATTTTTTGTATTTTTAGTAGAGACAGGGTTTCACCATGTTGGCCAGACTGGTCTTGAACTCCTGACCTCACACGCTCCATCCGCCTCAGCCTCCCAAAGTGCGGGATTATAGGTGTGAGCCACTGTGCCTGGCCTAACTTTGTTCTTTTTCTTTTTTTTTTTTTTTTTTTTTTTTAAGACAGGGTCTCATTTTGTTGCCCAGGCTGGAGTACAGTGGTATGAACACAGCTCACTGTAGATTCAACCTCCCTGGCTCAAGGGATCCTCCTCCCACCTCAGCCCCAGCCCTTCAAGTGGCTGGGACTACAGGCAATCTACCATGCCTGGCTAATTTTTTTTTTTCTTTCTTTTTGTAGAGACAGGATTTTTCCATGTTGCCCAGGCTGGTCTCAAATTCCTGAGCTCAAGCAGTCCACCTGCCTTGGCCTCCCAAAGTGCTGGGATTACAGGCACGAGCTACCACACCCAGCCTTGTTCTTTTTCAAAGTTACTTTGGCTATTCTAGATTCTTTGCATTTCCATATATATTTTAGAATCAGCTCATAAATGTCTATAGAAAACCTACTAGTATTTTTATTAGCATTGCATTGATTCTGTATATCAATTTGGGAGAACTGGCATCTTTCAATTCATTATCAAGACATAGCTTTCCATTTATTTAGGGTTTTTACATTTTTTTCTCAGTGATGTATACCTTTCAGTGAACAGATCTTAGAGATATTTTGTTAAATATATTCCTAAGTATTACAAAGTTTTGGATATTACCAGAAATGGTATTGTTTTCTTAATTTTAAACTGTTCATTGCTGGTATATAGTAATATAATTGATTTTTGTACAATGATATTATATTCTGCAACCTTGCCAAACTCACTTAGTACTTATAGTAGCTCTTTTCCTGAATCTCTAGGATTTTCTACATACGTGCTCATGTTGTCTGCAAGTAAAGGCAGTTTTTGTTTCTCCTTTCCAATCCATGTCTTTCTTTCTTCCTTTCTTCCTTCCTTCCTTCCTTTCTCTCTCTCTCCCTTCCTTCCTTTCTTTTTTTCTTTCTTTCCTTCTTTATTCCTTTCTTTCTTCCATCCTTCCTTCCTTTCGCTCTCTCCCTTCCTCCCTTCCTTCCTTTCTTTTTCTTTCTTTCTTTTTCTTTCTCTTCTTTCTTTCTTTTTTCTTTCTTTCTCTCTCTCTCTCTCCTTCCTTCCTGCCTTCCTTCTTCCTTCCTTCCTTTCCTCCCTTTTCTTCCTTTCCTTTCTTTGTTTTTCTTCCCTTGTTGCACCAGCTAGGATCTCTGGATCAATGTTGAATTGGGTAGTGAGGCCAGCCATCCTTGTCTCATTTGTTATCTTAGAAGGAAAGCATCTAGACTTTCACCATTAAGTGTGATGTTTGGGCTTTTTGTAGATGTCCATCAAATCAAGTTCCCTTCTCTTCGTGATTTGCTGAGATTTTTTATCATGAATGGCCTTTGAATTTTGTCAAATGTTTCTTGCACATTGATATGATCATATGGTTTTCTCATTTATTTCATTAATCTAGTAAATTGCACTGACTGATTTTCAAGTGTTAAACCAACCTTGGATTCCTGAGATCAGTGTAATTTGGTTATGGTTATATATATCTTTTACATATATTGCTAGATTCAGTTAGCTAGTATTTTGTTGATGATTTTTGTGTTTATGTTAATGAATAATGTGTTCTATAGTTTCCTGTACTGTCTTCCTCTGGTTTGGGTGTCAGATTAATGCTGGCCTCATAAAATGAGTTGGGAAGAGTTCTGTCCTCTGTGAATGTTTGATCAGCTTCACCAATGAATTCCTCTGGACTTCGTGTGTTCTTTGTGGAAAGATTTTTAATTGTGTGTTCTGTTTCTTTGATTGATACAGGTTATTTGGGTGTTTTATTTCTTCTTGAGATGGTTTGGTAATTTGTGCCTTTCAAAGAATGTGTCCATTTCATCCAGGTTGTCAAATTTCCAGCACAGAGTTGTTTATACTATTTCCTTATGATCCTTTTCACATCTGTAGACTCTACAGTGAAGTTTTCTTTTTCATTCTTGGACAGTCTAGCTAGAACTTTGTCAATTTCGCTTATATTTTTATTTTTATTATTTATTTATTTTTGAGGCAGTCTCTCCCTCTGTCGCCCAGGCTGGAGTGCGGTGGCACCACCACAGCTCACTGCGGCCTCGACCTCCTGGGATCAAGCGATCCTTCCAGCTCACCCTCCCAAGTAGGTGGTACTACAGGTCCGTACCACCACGTCTGGCTAATTTTATTTTGTATTTTTCACAGAGACAGGATATAACTTTGTTGTCCAAGCTGATCTCAAACTCCTGGGCCCAAGTGATCCCCCTGCCTCAGCCTCCCAAAGTGAGCCACCATGCCCAGCCTTGTTTAATATTCTAAAGGATAAATTTTTGAGATATTGTTTTTATATATTAATAATTTAAAATATGTTAAAATAAAAATAAATAAAAGCAATGTGTTACTCATTGTGACAAATTCAGAAAATATAGAAAAGGATAAAGACAAAATGTTATTACCCAGAGATAACCGCTATGAACATTTTGGTGCATTTTACTTAAGCTGTTTTCTGGGCACATAACACTATATATATTTATTTCCTTTTGCAAAATGAAAGCCCTTGCTCTTTCAGTGGAGCCATGCAAAGCATGGCGCTGTGTAAATCTTGAGCAGGTTAACCCTCCTCTCTGAGCCTCAGTTTCCTCATCTGAAATTGCATGAATTTATAGCTATCTCTTAGGTTGCTATGAAGATCAGCTACAATAAAGGACATGAAAGTGCTTGGCAAGACACAAAGTGAGGTGTGATTACCATCACCCTCGCCAGTCAGGACAGATGGCCCAAGTCCCAAGCTCAGGCTACCTTCACTACCTAGACTGGGGCTGGTACCACTAGCCACTTGATGTGTCTTCACTGCTTAATGACATGTTATAAAATCTATATTTTTGTCATTGTTTAATTACAAAAGAACTAACACATGCATCGTAACACATTCAAACCCAGACCTAACCACTGTTAAGTTCACTGTGTGTTTGCTCCCACACATGCTATGTGTGTACGTGTGTGTGTGTTTTCACAAGTATGCAGACCTTAATTTTTCACATAAATGGGCTTATATCATGCCCAATGTTGTGAATTCTTCCTTTACTGAACAACGTATCACAGAGATCTTTCCACATCAGTAGCCAGAGGTCTGTGTGTTCATCTTACCAGAGGCAGTATCCCAAGGAGAGGAGAGGCACAGTTGCTTAACCACTCCACAGTGATGGCTGCTTAGCTCGTTCCCAGTTTTTCCACCTTCCACACCAGAGAGTCTGCACTCTCCTCCCTCTGCCTCCCCTCTGCCCCTTCATCCGCAACGCATGGTGGGCAACCCCCCGGTCCCTAAAATGCAGAGTCCTTGGCATCCCTCCATTCTCCTGGTCTCTCTCCTTTCCCATCCACACTCACACCTGCACCGTGCTGCTCAATCCACGCTCATGCACCTGCCCTGTCCCTGTCTCCTGCCTCCAGACCTTCCGTCACAAGCTGGTGGAGCCTGTCTGTGCTTTCTGGAACTACAGTATCAGGTTAGTTTCCATTTCCAGGTTTTTTTTGTTTTTGTTTTGTTTTGTTTGAGATGGAATCTTGCTCTGTCGCCCAGGCTGGAGTGCAGTAGTGCAGTCTTGGCTCAATACAACCTCCATGTCCCTCAAGCAATTCTCCTGCCTCAGCCTCTCAAGTAGCTGGGATTACAGGCGCCCGCCATCACTCCCAACTAATTTTTGTATTTTTAGTAGAGACAGGGTTTTGCCACGATGGCCAGGCTGGTCTCGAACTCCTGACCTCAGGTGATCCACCCGCCTTGGCCTCCCAAAGTGCTAGGATTACAGTGAGCCACCGAACCCAGCCTTTAAGATGATTTTTTAAAAAGATGTCCACTCTGCTTGGGGATGAGGCAAGACTTACACATGGTTTTGACCTCCGTTCACCATCTGCCTTTCAGGGTGACTCCAGGCTCCTCCCAGCTCTAGGACAAGCTGGGGCAGGAGGATGTGTTACCCAGCAGGTAGTGAGCTCCCTGTCATGAGAGTATGTGCAGGAGGAAGCACTCACTCTGTGAGATGCCTAGGAAGGGACTCATCTGTCAAATGGGTGTTGAACTTGATCTATCTGAGGCCAGGGCCCTAGGGCTCTTGAAGGAGCAGAGCAGGCTCCAGGGATTAGCCCGGCTCCCTGCCCTGGATCTTTAGCTGAGGTAGGGAACCTTGGTCCCAGTGGCTCAGTAATTAATGATGTTGATAAACAGCGATCACTGGTATCAGCCCCGCCCTCCTACCATCCTAAGAATTTCAAGCATATTTTATAGGTGAAAAACTGAGACCCAGGAAGGGGCGGTGACTCCCCAAGGTCACGTAGCTGGTTAGAGGCAGGGCGGTGATGGGCCCCAGGCTTTGCGGACAGCCTTTCCCCTGCTTGCTCCTGGCCCCTCACCCCCTTGTCCACCTTATCTCAAGAGCCCTCTGTTCCCTCCCCATCCCCCAAGCCCATATACAGGGGGTGCCTGGGCCACCACGGGCTGCTCCGTGGCTGCCCTGTACCCGGACTCCACCGCCTGCTTCTGCAACCACAGCACCAGCTTTGCCGTCCTGCTGCAAATCTATGAAGTACAGGTGAGTGCCTGGTGGGAAGCGGGTGTCAGGAGGGGGGTCCTTAGCTGGAGGTGAAGAGAAGAGCCAATAGGTAGTAAGAAGAAGCCTCTGAGGGATGCCAGCTGTCATAGATTGTGGGGGACAGGGCTGAGCGCAATAGTTCATACCTGTTGTCCCAGAACTTGGGGCGGCTGATCACTTGAGCCCAGGAGTTCAAGACCAGCCTGGGCAACATGGCGAAACCCCATCTCTACAAAAAATGCAAACATTAGCCAGGCATGGCAACTCGCACCTATAGTCCCAACTACTCAGGGGGCTGAGGCAGGAGGATTGCTTGAGCTCAGGAAGTCAAAGCTGCAGTGAGCCAAGATCATGCCACACTGCATTCCAGTCTGGGTGATAGAGCAAAACCCTGTCTAAAAATAAATGAGTAAATAATAAATTGTAAACAGCTTGTTGAGGGGAAACTCTAAGGGGACATCAGGAGGGGCTGGACTCACTGGAGCTGGAAAGGGGCCCTGAGTGGTCACTTGCTGAGAAGTCAGGTGAGATGGGACCTGAGCCTCAGGAATGCTGGGGTCACCTGGCATGTTGAGGGGCACGTTAGAAAAACAGGTTACCAAATGCATTTTTCCTGTAAAGTCAAGGCCAGACATGGTGTCTCCCACCTATAATCCGACCACTTTGGGAGGCCAAGGCAGGCGGATCATTTGAGGTCAGGAGTTGGAGACCAGCCTGGCCAACATGGTGAAACCCCATCTCTACTAAAAATACAAAAATTAGCTGGGCATGGTGGCCCGTGCCTGTGGTCCCAGCTATTCGGGAGGCTGAGGCACAAGAATCACTTGAACCCAGGAGGCAGAGGTTGCAGTGAGCTGAGACTGCGCCACTTGCACTCCAGCCTGGGGGACAGAGTGAGACTCTGTCTCAAAAAAAAAAAAAAAAGAAAAGAAAAGTCAGAGCGTGGATGCTTTTCCACATCACGAACGATCCACCCACAGCCCCATTCTGACGACACTCCATGGTCCCTAGGATCCCTCCCCGTGAGCACATCGGTCAGCGCTCTTAGTAGCTGTCCAGTCGGTGGAATCTGGGCCAGTTGGGGTCAGTCTAGGGAGAGCCAGCAGGAGAGAAGGACATGCTCACACCTGCTTATTAAATGCCTACTGTGTGCAGGCCTGGGCCCTGCTGGCTGCTGCTGCACTGCAGACGTGAATATGGCATGGGGGGCCTTACAGTCACCAGGCAGGGCGAGGTCTGGCCTGGGTCGGGTCTGGGTGGTGCCAGGGGGTTTCTCTGTCCCTCCACACAGAGAGGCCCTGAGGAGGAGTCGCTGCTGAGGACCCTCTCATTTGTCGGCTGTGGTGTGTCCTTCTGCGCCCTCACCACCACCTTCTTGCTCTTCCTGGCGGCCGGGTGAGGAGAGCTCACCACCGTAGCCTGGCGGCCTGGGCCCTCCCCGCCTCGCTCAGGCCTCCATGTCCCCATCGGTCGGGTGTCCATCCTTGGTCCCGGCAGAACCTCGGTCTGAGCCTCTCCTTAGGATGTGCAGGGTCCCCTGTGGAGCTGCTTTCTTTCCCTCCACCTGCCCAGGCACAGGGGACCGGGCAGGACAGGGGCCTGCGGAGTGTGGGGACCGGCAGTGGTCTTGTTAACGGACTCCTCTGTCCTCTCCAGGGTCCCCAAGTCGGAGCGAACCACAGTCCACAAGAACCTCACCTTCTCCCTGGCCTGTGCAGAGGGCTTCCTCATGACCAGCGAGTGGGCCAAGGCCAATGAGGTGGGCGGTCAGTGGGTGGGCTGGAAGCCCAGGGCAGCCTGGGAAAGTGCCTGTGGGTTTTTCTAGGGTGACCCCCTGCCCCCCACCGTTTTCACTTGGCTCCACCTCCCTGGGGAGGAGCAGGGCCCAGGGAGGAAAGGCTCCAAATGGTGGAGCGGGGCCCAGGCTGCTGCCCAGAGGCCTCACCCGCTGACACTTCTTTGGGTTGGCAAGGCCAGGCTGGGCACAGGGCTGCGGGGCCGGCCTGCACCTGCGTCTGACCTCGGACCTAGGTGGGGATCCCCACTCTCCCCCGCTCCCACAGGTGGCATGTGTGGCTGTCACAGTCGCAATGCACTTCCTCTTTCTGGCGGCATTCTCCTGGATGCTGGTGGAGGGGCTGTTGCTGTGGAGGAAAGTGGTAGCGGTGAGCATGCACCCGGGACCAGGCATGCGGCTCTACCACGCCACAGGCTGGGGTGAGGCCTGCTCTGCGCCCGCACTCTCTTCTCCCCAGCTGTACCTTGCATGGCCGACCCTGCCATCTAACACGGCCCCACGCTCAGCACTCAGCACCCAGCACCACTCAGCATCCGGCATTTAGCATCACCCAGCACCCAGCATCACCCAGCACCCATCTCTGACATGACCTCAATTTCCTCAGTCCTGTTAACCTCCAATTTACCCAAGCCCTTTCCTCATAATCCGTCTCCACTTCCCAGCCTCCCCTCTCCATCCACAGTGCTATCTCCCCAAATCTGAAGCCAGCCAGTTGCCCAGCCTCCATCTCTGGAGACGCCCAGCTGTAGCTTCCAAAGCAGCCTCAGCTCTCCCCACTCCCAAACTACTGTGGCTCCAATGCCACCCCAACAGTATCAGAGCCCCCAGCCCTGCTCCTTGGACCTCCCCAGTGGCCCAAGTACAACCTCCAGTAGGGGACAGCTGCAGCTTGGCGGGCGCGGTTCTGGGTCCTGGAGAAGAAAGAGCAGGTGACCCGGCCTTGGACCCCCTTCTCCCTCCCCTAGGCGTGCCTGTGGGCATTGTGGCAGTCACCCTGGCCATGCTCCCCCGTGACTACGTGGCCCCCGGACATTGCTGGCTCAATGTGCACACATATGCCATCTGGGCCTTCGTGGGGCCTGTGCTCTTCGTGCTGACTGTGAGCTGGGGACCTGCAGGGGAGGGGCGTGTTGGGGACGGGGAAGGCCTCTCACCCACTGACCCCAGGTCTCCAGGCCAACACCTGCATCCTGGCCCGTGTGGTGATGGTCACCGTGTCCAGCGCCCGCCGCCGTGCCCGCATGTTGAGCCCACAGCCCTGCCTGCAGGAGCAGATCTGGACCCAGATATGGTGAGGCCCCAGAACAGGGGGGCCAAGAGGAAGCGGGAAGTGCAGGGTCAGCCGGCACCAGGCATGAGGCTCACCGGGCGAGAGCACGTGCAAGTCTGTGTCCAGAGCGTGGCCGTGTGGCCATGCCCGAGTCTGTGTTGAGTATGTGGGTGCATATGTGTCCCTGCATCTGTGTCACACATGCTCGGGCATGTCAACTTGTGTCAGCATGCACCTATGCACCCATGCACCCATGCGTGTCACATGTGGGGATGGTCACTGATCCGTGTGAGGGAGCTGTGGACATCAGCCACTGTTCGAGGGGTGCACTGCCTACGGAAGGTACTGATAGCCTACAGGAGACAAAGTAGGGGAGACCCTCAAATCAGGGCTAGCCCCAGACGTTCAGGGTTAGCTCCAGAAGTTCAAGTTCAGGGTGAGGACCTGGGTCCCTGTTCCTGCCAAAGACCCCCATCGCCCTCCGGGGTCACGCTCTGCAAGAGGGGGACCCCGCCGGCCTCCTTTCCCAGCCCTGCTTCCTTGCTGGCTTTCTCCTTCCCCACCCATCCTCCACCAAGCACAGGGCAACCCAAGCTGGGGGGGATCCCCAAAAAGCCAGGGAACCCCAGGGCCCTTAGAGAGGGAGAAGGGAGTCCTGACCCTATCCCTGCTGCTCCCACTGCTCAGGCCTCAGCCCCTGCTCTGAACAGCTACCAGCCCGTTCCTTCCAGCCAGGCTGGGGGCTGGGACCCCATCTCCCAAGTGCCACTACCCTACTTCATGCCACCTCTGTCTCTGAGGAGGGGGCAACAAAGTCCAGTCAAAGGTTCTGGCTCTCTCTAAGTCCTGCTGAGCCATGGCCCTAGCCCTCAGCTGCCACCCCACTCCAGGCACTTACAGGTGCTGCTCTCCCTGGAACCCTGCGGGGAGCTCCCCAGGCCTCCAACCCCCGTCAGCCCTGCCTGCCCTCCTACAGGGCCACGGTGAAGCCTGTGCTGGTCCTGCTGCCCGTCCTGGGCCTGACCTGGCTGGTGGGCATCCTGGTGCACCTGAGCCCCGCCTGGGCCTACGCTGCCGTGGGCCTCAACTCCATTCAGGTACCTCCAGCCCCAATCTTCTGGGACTAGGCCCTGATATGCATGAAAGAGGGTGTTAAGGCTCACTGTGCTTGGACACTCAGGGTCTGGCAGAAATTCCAGCCCCTTAGCTGGTGCCAGAGCCACTTAGTTCTTGCCAGGAAGCTGGGGAGGGTATGCAGAGCATCAGTCACATCCCGCTTGGGGTCTGCGGCCTGCTGGGATAGCCGTTTAGAAGAGGTTTGGTGAGGAGGCCTGTTCATGAGGCTTCGGGAAAGGGCCCGGGCTCCCCGGGTCTCTCAGGGCCTGTGTCAGGGAGGGGGCCAACTAGGTCCCTCTTGGGGGATTGGCAGGTCTGTGGAGGACCAGAACATTAACCGCAGTGACAGCCAGGGGGTGGGTGCTGGGAGTCAGGCAGGCCCACCGAGGCCCTTCCTGGCCCCTCCCTTTCCCTTGACCTCCCTGGACCATTCCGCCAGGCACCTCTCCCTGTCATCTGCACCTCTTGCTCCCCGCTTTCCCGGCCCGGGTCCCTCTCAGGGCCAAAAGGTGGGTGGGCGAGGGCCCAGGCTGGACTGTGCCAGGCTCAGGAAGTCAGGTGCAAACTCCACCCAGGGTCCGTGTGCCCTCCGAGCTGGGGATCCTCCATCTTTTCCTTGAAGAATGGGAGCCAAGGCGGTAACAGCCACTCACAGTGCCTGGGTGCTCCCTCTGAGCCCCAAGCCAGGCTCCTATTTTTATCTCTCAATAAGCCTTGTAAGTGGGGAAACTGAGACCTCATGGGGTCACCTGCCCAAGGCCCCCCAGGAGGCAGCATCAGTGCTGGGACACCACTCCAGAGACTGTGTTCTCAGCCACAGGGCATCCAGCTGACTGCAGATGGGTCCTGGCTGCTCCCTGGGAGCATGCTTGGACCCAGTTACTCATTCATCCGTGTGCTATTCACAGCTCGCCTGGTGCGTACCAGGCACTGTGCTGGGTGCCAGGCCACAGCAGGGAACGAGGTAGGAAAAAGCCCCTGTATTTGTGGAGCTGCCCTTGGTAGAGCAGAAAAACCATGGCCACGATGAAGAAATGAAGTGTTCAGTGAGGGGACGAGGCAGGGGAGCCCTCTTCCAAGCCCCACGCCCCCCAGGGCTTCATGGCTGGGTTCAGTCTGGCTGGCCCCTGGCGAGGCTTCTCCACCTGTCACATGGTGGGGCAGGTGGTGGCATCTTGTTGCCATGGCGATTCCTCCAGCTCTTTCCCAGGTGCCCCTCTTCACATCATGGGGCGTTGGATCCCTGATGCTCTCCGTCCTCACCTGTGCCCCTCAGGTGGGCAGAGACACAGCCATGGGGCAATGCCACCATCGCACCGTCTCAGCTCCCTCCCGTCACTTCTCATTCTTTCCTCTCTCTCTGTCCCAATCTTGGTCTCTGAATCTTCTCTGGTTCTGTCTCTCAGGCTCCCCCTCTGTCACTGTCCCCCTCTCCCTGTGCCCCTCTCACCCTCTGGCCATGGATGTTTTTTCTGGCACTGACCCCACCTGGCTCTTTCTGGGTCTGTCTTCATGTTTCTCCACTTCTCTCCTCTGTCTCTCTGACACCGGATTGTTTTTTGTTGGTTGGTTTGTTAGCTTTTTTTTTTTTTTTTGGAGATGGAGTCTCATTCCGAGTGCAGTGGCACAATCTCGGCTCACTGCAACCTCTGACTCCCAGATTCAAGCGATTATCCTGCCTCAGCCTCCTGAGTAGCTGGGATTACACACCTGGATAATTTTTGTATTTTTAGTGGAGACGGGGGGTCTCACCATGTTACCCAGGCTGGTCTTGAACTCCTAACCTCAAATGATCCTCCCGCCTCGGCCTCCCAAAGTGCTAGGATAACAGGCATGAGCCACCTTGCCCAGCCCTCTGACACTGGTCTTTTTACCTCTGCCTCTCCATCTCCATGTGCATGACCTTCTCTTGCCCCTGCCTAAGGCAGCCTCAGATCACCCTTGAGATGCTCACCTGGTGAAGGCAAGGAGAGGCTGCCTTAGGCAGGAGCTCAGAAGGCAGGAGTGGGGTCTGGGCCCTGCCGCCGACAGTCACATGACCCTCTTGGGCTCAGGGCCCTGTTCTCTCAGTCCCTCTCCCCAGGCACAGCCTTTCCCTTCACCTCTCCTTTGGTCTCTCTCTCTCTGTGTCCACCGAGGTCTCTCTGTGTCTTCCCCTCGCACTCCACCTCCACCCCTATCCCCCTCTCACTCTCCGTCAGTCTTGGGCATAAGTTGGGTACATCCCACTCTTAGGAGGGTGACCAAGTGACCAGGGAGGAGGCCTGGGACTCAGGGATGAAACTCTGCCCAACCTCATTCACTCTCTGTAAGTAATTTGTATCCTTCTGGCCCCAGTGCCGGGTTGTGTCGAGGGAGAGCAAAGCCTCACTTCTATAACCAGCCATAGCTCACACTTGCCCTGGTGGACAGAGCCTTGTTGTGAGGCCTGGAGAAGTGGCACCAGGCCTCCGTTTCAACATCTAACTGAAGGGGATCAGATTCCCACCTGCCTTATGGGATCATCGTGGAGTTTGGCTGACATAACATTTGCCAAGGCTAAGCACGATACCTGGCACGTGCTAGGAATCCCACGAGTGTGAGCTCATTGTTTTGTTCAGTTGTTCAACACGCACTCCCCTAGCACCTCCCTGTGCCCTGGCTGGCCTGCACGCTGGGGGACGTGGAGATGCCCAGGGCCAAAGAATTCTGTGACATTCTCAGCCTGAGGGAGAGGCAGACATTAAAACCACACAACCACAGTGTGTCATGACTGAGGCCGAGAGAAAACGAGCCTTGGTCAAGGCAGTGTGGGGACAGAGGAACAGCTCATCAGAGGCAGAATGGGCCACCTGGAGGGGGTCACTCTCAGCCAAGACCTGACAGCTGCATGGAGAGGGGGAAAAGAATGTTTTAAGCCGGGGGAGGGGCATGGTGGGGTCAAATGGCGGGGAGACATGAGGGGTAAGGCTGGTGAGAAATGGGGCAGGAGGGAGTGTGGGGGGCAGAGAGCATAGGGTCCTCAAAGCTGTCGTAAAGAGTTCAGACTTGGCCGGGCGCAGTGGCTCATGCCTGTAATCCCACCACTTTGGGAGACTGAGGCAGGTGGATCACCTGAGGTCAGGAGTTCAAGACCAGCCTGACCAATATGGTGAAACCCCGTCTCTACTACATACAAAAAAATCAGCTGGGTGTGGTGGCAGGTGCCTGTAGTGCCAGCTCCTCGGGAGGCTGAGGCAGGAGAATCGCTTGAACCAAGAGGGCAGAGGTTGCAGTGAGCCAAAATTGTGCCATTGCATTCCAGCCTGGGCAAGAAGAGTGAAAACTCTGTCCAAAAAAAAAAAGAAAGAAAAAGAAAAGAAAAGAAAGAAAAGCTCAACTTTTGTCCCGGGCTAGTTGGGAGCCATGCAGGGCGTCAGGCAGGTGCTGGTGTTCTTGGGTCGGCATTTGGGAAGATGCCTTTGGGTGGTGAGGAGTGGGTAGAAGGAAATGGGACGGAGAAGGCAGTGCAGAGGCTACAGAGAAAGAACAGGCTGGGCGTGGGGACCTGGGAGTCTTTGGGGTCTGTCTTGGAGAATGGGGGTGATGGTATCACCTCAGTTGGTGCCTGGGCACCAGGGAGACCAGCCAGGCTCTTGGGCTCCAGCTTTCAGCCCTGGGAGGCTGGAAGGCCCCAAGGAATTCCAGGCCCCCACCTGTGCCCTCCTGCCTGGGCCGCAGCACAGAAGAAGCTGCCTGTGACACTGCCCGGGGGGATCCCAGGACAGCCTCAGGGCTGGACCACACTGGAGCTTAGGACCCATTCCTCTGTCCCCCACCCCCAGCTCCTGGTCCCTCTCCATCAAATGCGGAGAATGAATCCACCCCCGCCACAGACTTGCTGCGAGGGTCAAGTGAGGGCCCAGATGTGATGGTGCAGGGAAGGTGGTGACGGCCTCTTGGTCCCACGGTGTGGGAAGAGGGAGCCAGCTCCGCCCCAGCCACTGTGTGAGTCCCTCACAGGCAGCACCTCCCATCCCCTCAGGAGCCAAGTCCCGGCCTCATCTCCCCTTTCCAGATGAAAAGACGGAGACTCAGGGAGGTGAAGGCCACTAAGCTAGAGGCACAGGGAGAAGGCACTCCCAGGGCTGTTGTCCCAGGACCTGACTTGACCTTGGAGCCTCAGGAAGGTGTCCCCTCCTAACCCTACCGCACAGCATAGCGAGGCGGTGAGGATGGGGCAGGCCCAGGGTGGGGCACAGAGGACTGGAGTCAGAGAGGCTGCCTGGTGAGCAGAGGCTGAAGGTTGGGGTTGCATGGGACAAAACCCCTTCTGGTCCCCCGTCCTGCTAAATGCCACAGCTACCCCTCCGCAGGCAGGCACGAGGGCAGGGCCGACTTACTGCCCATCAGCCTGTCTCTGGGTATCTCTGCGAGTGTCTCTGCCCCTGCGGGGCGCCAGGACCCCAGGCAAGGCCAGGCTGTGGGGGATGGGGTCGGGGGCTCAGGCCTGAGGCATCGCCCACTCGCTGGGTCTGTCCTCAGGGGCTGTACATCTTCCTGGTTTATGCTGCCTGCAATGAGGAGGTGAGTCTGGGGGCGCCGGCTGCAGGGAGGGGGGTCTGAGGGGTACGGAGGGTCCCCGACCTGACCTCCAAGCGTTCCACCAGGTGCGGAGCGCCCTGCAGAGGATGGCTGAGAAGAAGGTGGCCGAGGTGCTCAGGACACTGGGGATGTGGGTGGGGGCGGGAGGCCCCCAGAGCCAGGTCCCAGCCCCCACATCCTCTCCTTTCAGTCCTGTGCCAGCCCTGCCAGCTGGGGGACCAGCCTGAGGCCCCCAGGTCCCTGGGAGGCAACCCGAGGGAGCCCCATAGCCTTGGCTCCACCCCGGAGACACGCGGCTCTCAGAGGTACTCTCAGCACCCAGGTGGGAGTGCCGCCCAGTGCCTCAGTTTCCCCAGCACTCAGGCAGAGCTGGGAGGACAAGGGCAGATCCTTTTAGTCCATCTGAAAAAAGGAAACCAGGGCCCAGGAAACCCTGAAACCCTGTGGCTTGAGCAATGTCCTGTCACTCATTCCCCACTGCCAGGAAACCCGGGCTCCTGGGGCCTGGCCCAGGCATAGGCTTGTCCAGGGTGACCTTCCCTGGGGCTCCATGCAGAAGGGTTTGGGGGATTCCTGGAGATGGTGAGTAAATGAGGTCGGGGCTCTGAGGCAGGGCATGGGTTGAATGACTTCGAGGCCAGGCCAGAGGTTCCAATCCTAGCTCCCAGTCACCTCCTGTGTGCCCCTGGGCAAGTTCCTTTCCCTCTCTGGGCCTCATTACTAATCTGTGAGGTAAACCTTGGAGTGGATTCTTAGAGTATTGGATCCTGAGGGCCCCACTCCCAGGATGGGGGAGCAGAGAGAGCTCTCCCTGCCTTCGTCTCTGAAAAGTTTGCATTTTCCTCACTAGGGACCTATGGACCTAGAACCCCCTCAGCCTTCTCCTCCATTGCAAACCCGGAGAGACAGGTGAGGCTGGGACAGCGTGGGTCACACAGGGCTCTGCTAGGGGGCTGGCAAGGCCAGCAGGCAGGGTCAGGAAGCCACAGGGCCTGGGTAGGGCCGGGATGGGGGCTTCCCCGGGATCTGTTTCTCTGTTCCTGGGCTGAAGGGCCCAGGGAGGGGGAGCTGCTGGCCGCAAGCTGGCAGAGGCCCCTATAGCCAAGGATCCCCAGGGCAAGGGGCAGCAGAAGGAGTGGGAGCCACCCCTGTGACAGCCCCTCTGTCCTCAGGCTGTGGAACTGACAGCATTCAAAGCTTCAGGTACAGTCCCCACCTCAGCGGGTCCCCTCTTTTCTTTTTGGGCCAGGACCCCCGCTAAGCCCCCCTGTACCAGGATGGAAGTGATTTGAAATCAATATACCCAACCTCTCACAATTGCAGAGGCCCTCCCCTCACTCCACAGGTCCCCTGGGAGCACTGGGGGCCTGTCAGGGACCAGGCAGTACCCCTTGGGAGAGCTTCGTTAGAGAGTAGGTCATGGAACCCTAGTCTGAGCAGGTGCTGCCAAGGAGCACAGCCTGCCTCCCTCTGTCCTCCCCTCTCTCTGCCCCCCAAGTCCAGCACCCCCCCTCACCCTCTGAGGGCTCCGGCCTGATGCCCTAGGACCCAGAGCCTTCCAAACCGGCTGAGGCACAAGTGCTTTCCTCCAAGGCTGCAGGTCACCAGCTGATAGGGGCATGACAGGGGTTGGGCAGTGGCAGGGGGGACTGTGGGAGGGTGAGGACACCCCAGGTCCGGCTCAGGGAGAGGACTGAAGCCTGGGGAGCTCAGCCCGGCCCAGGGGAGCCATGGGGACCCTGCCCGCTGGTCGCTGCCCTCGGGGAACACTCCTTCCATCTGAAACCCACACAGCCCCAGCCTCGGCCAGGCGACTGTTTCCAGTCAAGGCAAGAGCCCTGTTTACCAGGCTCCTCCCAGGGGCAGGCTCAGTGCTCAGCCCAGGCACCTGCTGATTCTGAGCCAGTGAGGGGGAAGTGGAGGTGCCTTTCTCCACCCATTGCGCGGATGAGGAAGTTGAGGCACAGAAAGGCGCAGCCGCTAGCCAGAGCCTGAACAGAGCCAGGGCCAGGCCCCCACTGGCGCGGATGGGGGACTCCAGGCACAGCAGTAGCCACACGGGTGTAAACGTAGGGCCAGGTGAACCCGGGTCCGTGGGATCCCAGGCCCCGACCGGCCCCCATCCCCGGCTGGCATCTCAGTCCCGGAGAGTCTCAGCTTCCCCTTCTGCAGAATGGGCTGAAGGCGCCCCCCATAGGCCCGCCCAGACGTCCCCCGGGGCCAGCGCCCCTCCCCCACCCGCCCCACCCCCACCCGCGGGCGCCGCGGCTGCAGGAACAAGAGAGCGGCGGCGCCTCTGCGCTCAAGTGACAGCGCCTTTGTCTCCGCTGAATGGGTGCGTTGCTAGGGCCGCTCGTAGCAACGGAGCCGCTTCCACCTGGGCCCCACCCTCCGGACCCCCCACCCGGCCCGGCTCTCTGGACGCCTCCACTTCCAGTCCCGACCCCACCCCGCAGGCCACTCAGCGGCCGGAGTTGTGAAGGCGCGGGGCAGCGGGGGCTGCCGGGCTGTGTCCCACGCGGGGCCGCCACCAACCCCTCCTGAAAGGCCGCGGAGCCCTCGGGGCATGCGGGTTTTCCGAGGATGGAGAAACTGACTCACAGCCAGCGAGGACTGGCCAGGATCTCCCCCAGCCTCAGTTCCCAGAGCCCATCCATCCCCGGGTTCTCCACCAGGATCCTCTGCCAGCCCAAGGGCGCACTTTCCCACCAGGTTTCTAGGGAGTGTCTGGGAAACTCGTCGCCAGACCCTGCCCAGCTCAGCTCTGCTGGGACCCCAGACCCCAGAAGGGCGCAGCGGGAGTCCCTGAGAGCCAACAGCGGCCCCTGCTCCGGCGGCCTCAGCCTCTGACTTTTCCTAAAGGAGTGTGGGCCTCAGCCCCCTGCTCCCCTAACCCACCAGGTCCCCAGGCTCTTTCCCCCAGTCTTTGCCTATGTGTGATCTGCTCCTTCCCACCTGCCCCGAAGTTCCAACGGGCGCTGCGGTGTCTGGTAATAAATAGAATTGTTGGGTTCTCCTGTCCTCTGGGAGTCGTCCTGGCCTGGGCAGAGGGAGAGGACGCCGGGCCCTCTGGGAGGAGGGAGGAAGCCAGAGAAGCTGCCACTTGGCTTTGGGACTCCAGGGCGTCAGCCTCATCATCAGGGTAGGCGCAGCCAGCATTTATGAGCGCTTGCTGTATCACTGGACGGTGCTGAGCCCTTTACCACCTCAGAGTCATGGGTCCTCACTGCCGTGCTGAGCCACCGTCACTCCTGCTGTGCAGAGGAGGACACAGGCTCAGACCACTCAGGCCTGGGGTCTCCCAGGCCCTGTAGCAGAGGTGGCAGGGGTGACAGTTGGTATGAGTGGGAGCCACCCAGGCAGACAGCTCGCAGGTAAGTTGCTAGTCTGGACACCTCCAAGTCACACCATGGGACCAGGACCTGCCGCCACAGTTGTGTGGCTGTGGGTAAGGTCATTCTGAATCTTGGTCTCTTCTCGGTAGAATGCGTTTCAGGGCAGGGAGGGGAGCAGGGATGTGAGGGCTCTGCACCAAGGCTGGCGGCAGGGAAATGAGGGCCCAGGCTCTGGGAGTGGAGGCACACAGGCAGCCAACACTGTCCTGCTGACGCCAGCCTGGCTCACATTCTGCTGGGGCCAGGTGACAGGTGACACGGCATAGCCAGGACCTCCAAGCAGCTCCCGGGAGGTGGGGCAGGGCTGGATGAGAAGCAGATGGGACCCAGTGAGGCATGCATAGCTCCCAGGGGCCTCCAGCTTCCACGCTGGACCCTGCCTGGGTTGAGTCTGGGACAAAATCTGTCCAGGGTGTTGGCCCCACCCACACAGGTACAGGGCCCAGGTGCTTCTTGCTGAGGATGGTTGTATAGCCTCTCCATGCCCATCCGTCCTCTGTCGAATGGGGGACATCATACCCACCCAACGGGCCATGTGAGGGGTCCGCACAGTCCTGCACTTGGTTCCTGGCACAGCCCTCAGCAAGCACTCAGAAAGTGTCAGCTGTGGCCCGAGTCAGCTGTGGCCTGGGCTGTGGGGGCCAGAGCCTGTGGCCCAGAGGAGGTTCAAGGCCTTGAAGGCGCCAGACTGGGGAGGCAGTCCAGAGAGAAGACAGCATGGCTCCGTGGGGCCAGCAGAGCCCCTGCCGTGTGCTGGGAACACTGGGCCAAGTGCGGCACTCTATCCTCAACAGGGACAAAAGGGGCGGGACCCTGAAGGGGCAGCAAGGAGGCAGGCAGGGCACTTGGTGGCCCCCCAACCACCTGCATCTCAGCACCCTCATCTTCAATGGGCTCCTGTCACCTCAAAAACCCATCATATGGGCTGTGGGGGAGGGGACAAATGTGGGACCAAGGGGTCCCTTCCCATCCCCCACCTTCCTCCATTCCATATCCCCCTTGTCCCCTACACACAGCCTCTCTTTACTCTCCAGTCAGAGTAACTTCTCCTAGGTCCCCAAACACAGCCGCTGATACCCCTCCATCCTTCTGCTCACACTGTTCCTTCTGCCTGAACTGTCCCCAGCTCCCATCTAGCTGGTGAACTCCTGGGCATCCTTCAAAACCCAATTTGGATGACACCTCTACTACAAAGTCTTCCTGTTCCGAAGAGCCCCCATCTCTCCCAGGAGCGGGGTCAGTCACTTCCTCATCTTGTCTGTCTCAGTCATATGAAGTATCACATCAGACTGCAGTCTAGTTTAAGATAGTCTCTGCCTACAAGACTGGACATTGCCCAGGGCAGGAACTAGGGCATCTGCAGGTGCCAAGAAGAAGAGGGACACCTTTTTGTTTGCATAAAAGCCACTGCCAAGCTGTGTGCCTAGGGCTACATCACCCTAGAGGGGACATGCTTTTCTAATTTGCATGAAGCATCGGGAGGCTGAGGGTGACCCTGGATATGAACTAGTCAAGTTGATCAAAGTGGATCAGGACAATGGAGCTTTGTACTGTGGCTGTGCCCCTCTTAGCTGTGTGACCTTGGGCAAGCTGCTTTGGCCCTCTGTGCCTCAGTTTCCTCATCTGTAACCTACAGAAGTGGTTTCAAAGAGCAGTCAGTGTGACCAGATGAGGCGGGAAGCGCTGGGCAGGGGTCCTGGAGCGGAGGAAGCCTCAGATGGTGGCGGTGCTCACTGCCGCCACCACGTGGGGCCAGGGAAGAATCTGTGAGGGACGTGGTGGGGCAGACAGGAAAGGGCAGGGCTCTGAGGGGTCTGCTCTCCCAGGTCTGTGGCTCATGGGCCCTTGGCAAGTGCCTTCCCCTCCTAGAGTATAACCCCTGCCTCACAGGGATGCAACAGGGACAGTGAGATGAGGGTGACACACAGCAGGTGCCCCTTAAATGACTGCTCCTTCTGCCCCAAGATGGGGGCTGAGCCTGCATGGCCAGGGTACAACAGGTAGAGAAGCCACAGCACCCCCTGGGTCTCCCAGTGCCTCAGGGTGCCAGGGATGAGGTGGGGCCCAAACCCCAACAGTGCCTCGTGTCCCCCCACCCAGCCCCGCAGCCCACCTGCCTCCTCAGAGTTTTGAACCAAAGAGCGTCTGCGTGCCACCTCCATCGGAGTCAGAGTGCTGCCCCACCCTAGACCACCCAGAACCACCCGAGCCATTCTGCTCTGGCCCCAGAAGGTAAACAGGCAAAAGTAGCTGGAAACTAATTGCAAAATTTATTCCAGGGCTGCGGGGGCTGGGGTGATTCTTAAGGGCACTTCTCGTTTCAGGGCTGTGGGTCTCCGGCCTTGGCAAGGGCACACATTTCAGGGGGCAGAGGTGGGGACTGAGACAGGGTGGTGGGAGGCAGGAGGCAGGAGGCAGGGGTGTCCAGTCTCCTCCAACTGGGCAGGCTCAGCACAAGCTGCAACAGTAACATGAAAGCGGGACGGACAGCAGGCACCCAGCCGGGGACAGGAGACAACTGAGGCCTCTCCCTGGTGCTTTGCCCTGGGGAGTGTCTTTCATGACCTAGGGCAGGAGGCCAGGGAGCTGAGGGCCAGCTTCATGGGTTTGCAGCAACGGGTTGGAGCCACAGAAAGGGGATCGACAGCGCTTTCCCTGATCTACAGGCCCATGCCCCCTCCCAAGTTCACTTGCATTCCCACCCACAGAGACTTGAAGCCCCCAACAGGGCGTCCTGCTGTTCACCTGGTGGGTGGAGGGCGGGCAACAGCGCTTCTCTGGATTGGGGCTGGGGCTCAGAAGTAATGACCCAGCACCACCCCAAGGGTACTTGGTAGGCGAGTGTCTGGGGAGAAACCATCAACTGTACTTAGTGGCAATCCCCAAGCCCCAGCTTCAGTCCTCAACTCTGTCCCCTTCCCTCCATCACACACACACCTTTCAAGGAGTGTCTAGAAGCTTAAAAACAAAAAAAAGGGGGGGAAAAAACCTCTTGACTACAACCTTGCAGATAAATACCAGCCTGGGAGGGCCACCTCTGGGTGGGGCTAGGATGTCGATTGTACCAAACGTTCTCCAGGTGGGAGAGGGAATCAGGGATGCCTGGAGCAAAGTTTTTTCCCTGATGATGTATCAACGCTCCCTCTTGCAGAGGTCAGCTGGGGTAGAAGGGCTAGGGAGGTCCTGTTGTCCTAACCAGTCTCCTGGTGTCCTCTAGGGCCCAATAGCCCCTCTCAATTTAGCAAACTCGGTTATCCTTAGTTTACAAAACAGAGGATCTCCTTCCTGGTCTCTATGGGGGGGAACACTGGAGACCCTCTCTCCTCCCCCAGTTGATACCTGCTCAACTTCTCCCTGTCTCTGTTTTCAGGAGAGGAGGAAGGGATGACCTCTGATCCAAGGGACATCGAGGCCCACCAGGGAATCCCGAACCTCCTCCCCGGACCTGCAGGCTTCAGACTCCAGGAGAGAGCTGGGAGCCAGGGGGCGGGGGAGGGGGTGGTTAACAGCCACCTCCTTGGGGCACTCCAAGTAGCAGGCAAGTGCCAGTGGCCACCCCACCTCCGCCAAGCCCTGCCCAGCCTCACCCACCTTCCCAAACACAGTGTCAGAACTCAGGGGCAGCGGCCTTTGGGACGGGGCTGGGGTTCCTGCGTGGGCATCAGAAAATGAACCATGTGGAGCCAGCGGCAGTGGCTGCGGCCCCGCCCCGGCCCCGTCCCCAGTCCCGCCCCCAGTCCCGGCCCCGCCCCCGGCCCAGGCTCAAGTCTGCTTGGCTTGCAGCATCTCGATGAGCAGGTTGTTGCGGGGCATCTCGTTGCCCAGGTGCTTGTGGTACAGGTACTCCTTGGCCTGCATGCTCAGCGCCCGCACCTCCACCAGGCACAGCAGCAGCTGCTGGAACTTGTCCCCGCAGTGCGGGTAGTGGCACAGGGT